ATTCTTTTCCAATAAATTTTGCTAAATGTATTCTTGTTATGGCACTAAATACGGTGATAGGGTTCGAACAACATACATATTTGTTTTGCTTAGATTTCCAATTTAGCATACATTTCATCATTCCTACATGGCTCGATTAAATATAGTATCTTCGTTTTTTTTTATATTTATATATTCTTGAAATGCATTTTGACACCAACATAAATATGCTTTTTTGTGATTAAGAAAATCTTGATTTGTTGAAGGTTGTTACATGTGGGAATGTTCCTTTGGAGTCCTCATTTCAAAGGGTTCCTAGATGTGTTTATACATCCACAAGTTTATATGAATACCGAGGCTGGGATTCAAAAGCTGCCAACTCCACACATCGTCGCTTCACATGGGGTCTCCGATCCATGGAGGTTAGTTAGTAAGGGCAAAATAGTCATTTTAATGTTTTCTTAAAATCAGAATACTTAAAATGCAATAGCTCAATAGCTAAATTTAATCTCTATAGAACATGGTTAAGTAGCTAAAATAAGCATATAGCTGTTTTTCCATAGTGTAAAAAATTTTGATTTTAATCTTTTGTGAATATATATGCAGAGGCATGTGGTGGATTTTTATATATCTGATTTCCAATCTGGGTTAAGGGCGTTAGTGAAGACTGGTTATGGGGCCCGCGTGACTCCATATGTGGAGGAATCTGCTGTTATTGATATCGATCAATCCAACAAAGATATGTCCCCACAATTCATAAGATGGTTGGCTGAAAGAAACCTCTCAAGTGATGATCGTGTAATGCGACTCAAAGAAGGGTATGAAACCCTAATCTCTACTTTATGTAACCTTCAATTTATTTATTTCATTACGTTTTTTTTATACGATGTCAGAGATTAGGTGGGTAACATGTCAAATTGAGTGAATTCTTAGGGTAGGTCAAAAGGGTCACTTAGGTAGGGTTGACCTGCCAACACTTTTTTTTTTGTCTATCTTTTATATTTTATTAGGGTTTTAGTATGATGCGTGAGTTGGGTAAAAGGTCAAAATGATTAGTTTCTTAAATCTTATGTCATGTCAAAAGGGGTCAGTTGGGTAGGTTGACCTGCCAACGCTTTCTTTGTCCATTTTTTTTTATTTCATTAATAATTAAATATCAAATATGATAATTCAAACTATTTGTTAAAGTACTGATCGAAATCAATTTCATTATTCCTTTTTTATCAAAAGACCAAAATTGCTAAATCAATTTCATGTAACATAGGTACATTAAAGAAGGAAGCAGTGTGAGTGTGATGGGAGTTGTCCAAAGAAACGATAATGTATTAATGATAGTGCCTCCACCCGATCCAATTCCAACTGGATGCCTATGGAATAGATGCATGCTTCCTTCAAGCCTAGATGGGGTCATTTTGAGATGTGAAGACTCCTCAAATCATGATGTGATTCCTGTGTAAGTCGACTTTGAGCTAAAGATGATAGGTGTATAGTCTGGTTTTTGTTTCACTTTCACTTCACCCCATGATCTTGTTTGGGAGTGTGTTTTGTTAATGGTGTTGTGTGATTATGGAGCTTTTGGGGGAAACTTGATACTTGAAGGAGTTTTACAATTTTCTTGGTATTTTTTTTCATGAGAAATGTTTGAAGAATTTGAGATTTTGATGGTATTATATGGTTCACATTTGTTATGCCATGTTATTTTTTGTTTGCATGAGCAAGAAAAAGGTTTTGGGCGAGAATTTTGATTTTAATGTGGATTGGTCGATTGGATTGCTTGTGGGCATCCGCTTTGTTTTTTACATAAAAGATTTATTAATGATATGTCTTGAATTTTTAAGTGTAAATGTTTTTTTTTTTTTTAATAATTCAGGAAGAACCATCTAATTGAGAAAATTGAGAAAATCAAGGAAATAAGGTTATAAAAAAAACTTATATTTTGTGTTTTTTTTGGATTAAACTTCAAATTTATTTTTTGTCTGAAATAACCATGTATATGTATATATATATATATTTTTTTTAATCTGACCATTTTAGTCATTTTTTTTCAAAAATATTGTAAAATATGAGGGTTTTTTTGAGAAAAACTGAAAGAGTTGAGGGTTTGTTTGGAAGCATATAGAAAATTAAAAGTTTTTTTCGAAAAAAAAATACAAAGATGAGGGGTGTTTTGGAAAATTGAAAAAAAATACAACGTTTTTTTTTTTTTTTTTTTCAGATCAAAAATAAATTTGAGATTTAATCCGAAAAAAATACAATAAAAAATCACTTTTGAGATTAACCATTAAGTCATGTAATACTAATTTTTGTTAATTTCTGCTCTTTTTTCTTAAACTACTTCTGTAAGTTTATTTATTTAAATAATGGTTAATCAATACACCACTTACAAAAAACAGAACAATATTATTTTTTTTATGCACCCTTCATATCTTGGGAGTTGTCATCAACTATTGTTTCCTTTATGGAATTTGGTTGGCAATTAACCGAATTCTCGTGTCTCCTGGAGGTTTCTTTTTGTCGTTGTTTTCTAGTCATTGTTACTTTGTTAGTTCACCCTTTATACAAAAGAAGTTGACAGTGGATTAACAACGGAGTGATAACTTAGATTATATAAAAACATAATGAGACGTTCATTACAATGACCAAGGGTGTGTTTGGGATTATTTTTTAAAAGCTGAGGGTATGTTTGGGATTATTTTTTAAACTTAAAAGTGTTTTTTATAAAAGGGTTTTTTGTAAGATAAATTTTTCTAAAAAAAGTTTTTAAAATGTGTTTGTTTTGACTTTTAACGTTTTTAAGTGAAAAGATTTCATGACTTATCAAATGTTATTTTTTTGTTATTGGCAAAAGGTTGTTTTAAAGAAAGTATTCTAAAAAATAATTTTAAAATGCAAAATAAATGGAAAAATCTAAAAATTCTTTTTTTAAATATTATTTTCGAAATTTGAATTAACTAAAAAAAAATCCGATTTTTTTTTAAAAATACGTGAAATATTCTAAATACAATATTACACTGTACATATTCTAAAAATAATTTTAAAATGCAAAATAAATGGAAAAATCAAAAAATTCTTTTTTTAAATATTATTCTCGAAACTTGAATTAACTAAAAAAATTAAAAAAATAATAAAAAAAATAAAAAAATGCGTCTCATGGTCTCACAAAATTAGGCCGTCTCACATGAACCTAACCCTATATATGCCTAGGTTATTCTATTCAAAGTAATTATTATGTTATTATATGCATAACTGTAGGCCAATCAATTTTAAGAAAGTCATTAACATATATTATTGAATTAAATGTAATTGAAAAATATCATCTAATTTAATTATATGGGTATTTTAGTCAATTAATATAGATTTAATAAAGGAAAATTGCATATTTTAAGGGATCATAGATTCTATTAATTTTAAAAATCCGATTTTACGAATTATAACTATTTTAATTCGGACATTCTGACAGAATATGTTTATTTATTTAATTATTTACTCAAAAATAAAAATATTATTGAACAATAAATAATAAAAATATTCTTGAACCTATTTCTTGATCGTGACTTTAAGAACTTGTAGAATAACAAATTCTTGAACAATCAATTGAAGAATAAAAATAAAAAATACATTATTTCTTATAGAATACGAGTAATAATTGTTAAGAATTACAACGACTAATACATTCTAAAAGAATAATGTGGTCCGTTTCAATTTTGTGGTCCGTTCTTCAAGCATCAACTTCTGTGATTCCAACAGAATTGGACTTCATTATTCTATTCCAACAGAATTGGAATACGTGATTGGAATCTCACCAATATCATTCATTGAATCATCTACATAAACATACTTGATACCTTTTCAGGATTCAACATTGTCAAGATCTTGTACTATCCACATAAATGAAGTGTTAAAAAAAAGAACATAAATTGAAATATGAATCAGACCATTTGAATCAATCCCTTTGTTGCATTAATCAGACCATTTGAAAGAAACACATATGATCTCCATATCACTCAAAACCCCAAAATTCCACTTGAATTTGAATTATAAAACTGAGTTATCGATTCCTGTAACAAACAAAAACGGAAGGAAAAAACCCTAAGTGAAATTAACTCGAACAAAGCTTCATGTTACTTCATTATATCAAAAATCGAATCTAACCAAACATCGATTCACTCGAACTTTCTCATCATTAACATATGGTCACAGTTTCCTAAGGTTTTGAAATCGTTGCATAATCAAATTGATCTTCGCATTTGCCATTATTTAATATTACAACAATCAATTAGTCATTATCAGGACCGTATTTCCTCAACAAATAAACTATAGTGAAATGAAACACATGCATGTTGATAGATAGATTACATCAACAACGACAATTAAGAGGAAGAAAAGTAAATCGAGATTTAAAATTACGATTGATGTTAAGGTAATAAAAGGATACAAATAAGATAGAGATACCGGAAGTACAGAAGCACCAGAGGATGAAGAAGCACAACATAACGACAAAAGGAGTGAGATGAATTCGTTTGTATTTAACTACTGATCTCATGCTCCATATCTGACTCTCTCTCCGGCCAATGGTGGAAGCAGGATTGTAGATAGGAAGCTCGCTGGTGATATCCGTCGCAGACATCGACCTCTTCCGCCATGATCGCCCCCTGGATCGGTGCTGTCCGGATGCTTCTTTCCTCTGCACCTCCTTGCGATTTCCCAACTATCACAGAAGCTCCGTCGACATGCCCTCTTCCTTCGTTTCTGTCTAGGGATTTAAAGCTGTAAATGTAAACGATTTTGCCTAAAATAAAGAGTTTATGATTTGAATAATTAATTACCAAAATTAATAAAAAGCTAAGATTACAATTTTAGCCATATCCAGGTTTTTAAAATGATCGGTCCATATTATTGTATATAATAACACAATAAATGTATGTATATTATTTATTTAAAAATGTGTATGTGTAATATTTTTTATAACTGCATGTATAATATTTATTTATAAGTTTATTATAAATATAATCTATATAAGTTGAAATAATAGTATATACTAGGAATATATTTTTTGTAGGTAAAAAATAAAATAAAAGATAGAGTATGATTGGAAACGAAACACTATTTACCTTGAAAGGAAAAAATAAATATACGTTGGAGTAAAGGGCTATACTAGCACCTAAATCAAAAACAATTTTTAACTCGAAGGGCTATAGTTGTTTCGAGTGAACGGTTCTCAAATCTCAACTCGCAACTGATTGTTTGATGAACGTGAGAAAAAAAAATATATATCCCTTGGCGTCTTTACGAATTCTTCGAGTCGTTAAACATTTACAACAGATGCCAATATCGAAACATTTTCAAGTCGTTAAAACCTCTGTATTGAAAAACCCTAACCAAAACATACAACAATGGCTTCTAACGTACATTCTCGGAATGTAACCGCTGCCGGAACCTCCGAAACCGAGATTCCCCTCATTGCCACCGTAGAAACCGAGCGGACGGTGGGAGCGGAAGTAAAAGAGGAGAAGCCAGTAGCTGATCATCCAACGGTTACGGAGGTAGCTCCGGCTGCAGAAACGACGATTCCTAAGAAGAAACGACCTGGATACTGTGTGTTTCGGGTTATAGTGCCTGTGCATAAAGTTGAGAGTATTATAGGACGGAATGGAGATCTAATCAAGAAGATGTGCGAAGAGACTAAAGCTAATATTCGTATACTGAAAGGCCCCGTTTCTGACCCTAACCGCATTGTAAGTTGTTCCTTTTGAGATTTCTGGTTCTTTTTGTTTTTGGATAAACAAGTTAGTTTACAATTTACCTAACATTTTTAGGTAGAAATATCTGGCAAGGAAGATATAGAGGCACCTTTATCACCTGCAATGGATGCTGTGATAAGATTATTTAAGCTTGTTAATGGATTCACAGAGAATGAGAATAATGGTGTATCCTCCATTCCATTTTGCTCAATTCGACTATTGTTAACTTCAATGCAAGCCACGAGTTTGCTTGAGAAGCAAGGATCTCTTTTAAAGAGAATACAGGAGAACACGGGTTGTTATATTCGCATTTTATCTTGTGGTATAGATTCTATTCTAAATGTAATGATTATCTATTTATATGTCTATAGGATTTTTTATTTTTTTTCACATAACACACAATTTCTATGCTGTCTTTAAAGTTTAAAACAACAAAAACCAAATCCCACTGGAATACGGTTAGGGGAGGTTAGATTTGTATCTCCACCCAAAGGTAAAGAGACTGCTTCTATAGATAAAATTAGAATTTTATCATCATCATCATCATCATCATTTGTGACAACTCAGCGATTGAATCTAGGGGTGTAAACGAGCCGAGCCGAGCCCGAGCCTGACAAAGCTCGAGCTCGGCTCGTTTAATTTGAGGAAACTCGAGCTCGAGCTCGAGCTCGATTCGAGCCTTAAAATGAAGCTCGAGCTCGGCTCATGAACAATTTATTGGGCTCGCGAGCCTAATCGAGCCTAAACGAGCCTCTATGTGTGTGTGTGTGTGTGTATATATATATATATATGTGTGTGTGTGTGTGTGTGTATATATATATATATAGAGAGAGAGAGAGGCTCGTTTAAGCTCGTTTAGGCTCGCGAGCCCATTAATTGAAGCTCGGCTCGAGCTCATTTAATAAACGAGCCTCATATTTAGGCTCGAGCTCGGCTCAGGCTCGTTTAATTCGATCTCGAGTTGAGCTTTTAACGAGTCGATCCCGAATAGCTCACGAGTAGCTCGGCTCACTTACACCCCTAATTGAATCTGATAAGCTGATTCTTTGATAATAGCATGTATGAGTTATTTTGACATGTCTGATATATATGCTTCAACTTTTTAGAAGCATCTCCTTTTCAATATATGTTTATTTGCAATATTTTCTCTTTTTGTTTTTACGGTTTTTTTATTGGTTTCAAATACTTACTATTTCCACTTTTTTTTCTGCCAGATGAAGTATCAAAATTATCCACCAATTCAGATGATAGAGTTGTCAATTTAAAGGGAGAAGGTCTCAAGGTTCTGGAAGCTTTAGAAGCTGTTCTCAAACACCTATGCATGTTTTTGCTTGATCATACCATTCTTCCTCTCTATGAGAAGACTGTAAGTTGTTCACATTTTGAGCAGTTTATTTTGGGCCAAATGCAAGAAGTAGCAACATACTTTCATTTATTGTTTTAAATGGTTGCATTGAGGAATATAATAATTACTCGAGTATTCGGCTATTTGCTCTATAAGATTCTTTTTGTATTTTTATTAATGTTTATAAAATATTCTTGTAGTTTTCCTCCTGAATATTTCTAAAGCTTCCTGAATACTTTTATTTTACAAAATAGTTATTGAAGTACTCCTTTGTAAATTGATGTGATTAATCAAAACAATTCATTTTTTTTTTTAAATTTTAATGTTCACAAGTTAAGACCGAGCCAAGTAGTCTTAAACACGCGTTGCAGTAAGAAGCGCCGCCGAATTGTTGCTGCTGAAGCACCACAGGCAGAAGGGACGGTGTGTAGCTCTTTGGTTAAAGTACCACCAGAGTTGCCTCAAGTACAACCCACAACTGCATTTGTGACAGTAGAGACTAAAGCTGAGGTACCACCAGAATTGCCTCAAGTACAACCTGCAACTGCATCTGTGTCAATAGATACTAAAAGGAGGATGTTGGTTTTTGAAGAAGAAATATTGGGAGTCTTGAAGATGATAGCCCATAAGATTAACAACAAACCAGAATCACCTCCAAAACCAACATTTGAAGATTGTGAAAAGAAGTTGAATGAGCTTGGGTGGGCGAAAGATGATCCGTTATACCTAGTTGCACTCACGATTTTTTGTGACAAAAAAGAGAAATATAGGGAATGTTGGATGAAATTAAACCCGGAGAGGTGTGCTAATTGGGTTAGAATTATTGGACGTAGTAAAAGATTCACTTAATTGAATTAGTTTATGTTATGGTTTAAATGTGAATATGAATCAGTGTAGAGTTAACATCTATTTGTTTTGGTTTGTGAAGCTTTGATAAATAACCATTTCGCACTCTTATTCTATATTATTATTATTATTATTATTGCTATTAATATCAACTTTGTCTACTGCAAGTCTCCAAGGTCCATCATTGCCAAGAGACTGAAAATAGGAGTAAACCGCCAAACTGCCATGTGAGTTTTGGTGCTGGAGCTGGCTAGGGAGAGGGAGATTGAAGAGGTCGGGGACATGGGAAAGAGGCATTCTGACTAACACTAACCTTAGACGAGATATGATACATATTGAAAGGAATAAGGCAAACATTTTTTTAGTACTTCTATATTTATATATTCAACTTCAAGCAATTAACTAGAATTAAAGCAAAAACCTTACTTTACAAGGCGCATGGCATCCAAGCATTCCAAATTTCCAATTAACATCAGATTTCAAAGCTCGATGTTTTTAGGAAAACAAATTTAAAACTATACTATCAAAAATAATATTGTTACAAATAAGATTGTCATAAAAATACACCGAATTGTGTTGCTTCCACAACACCCAAATTGTATTCAAAATAATCACCTCAACCCGCCTCTTCTCAATACTCAACCATATGGAGTCATCCACCCAAGAAAGTCATTCGACTATAGAATTCAACACATGGAATACGACATCACACCAACGCTCTACACGTCACCACACATTCATCAAAACTTAACAATGAAAGAATTGATGAAAAGTAGTCTCCACCCCCATATTGCAAATTGAACACACCAAGGAATTTAATTCAATGCCTTTTTTGACAAGTTAAAACAAGTTGGAAGCCTATAAAGGATCAACCGACAAATAAATATGTTTACCTTTTTTGGGACTATTTTACACCATCTTACTATTAACATCAACAAGAGAAACATCATCAATATGTTTCCTTGTTGAGTTAGCTGTGAAGCACCCAAGTATATGGGTCTAGATTTGATGATACTTCAATGCCATGCAACACCGCCAACAACCCCCCAAAGTTGCTCCTTTTCATGGCTTAGCTCCCTGAATTTCCCTCCTCCAAGCCCATTTCCAATGACCCCCTTGAACCCGATCTATACAACCAATCAAAACTTCCAACAAACGTAAGATATTATTGATTATGTGTTGAACAAACATTCACATTAGACTTGAACTTAGAATTAACTCCACTTTATGATTGACTTTGTTGGATCAACAATGAACGAAGATGCACATGTTAGTCATATGTGTCCCGCCTGTTAGTTGACAGTCACTCCATTTTATTATTATTATCACACGCTCCCTTAGAATAGGATACCATTATGTTTTCATGAAATTATATTTTTGTGAATGTCAATAACATTCAACCGAAAAACATACAGTTGTAAGAGTTATCTAAATAAAACGTAAGATAATGTTGATTATGTATTTGACTAACATTCACGTTAGACTTGGACTTAGAATTCACTCTACTTTATGATTATGAATTTGTTGGATCAACAATGAACGAAGATGCACATGTTACGCGTATGTGTCCCACCTGTTAGCGGGTAATCACTCAAGTTTTTATTATCAGACGTTCCCTTGGGATGGGATACAATTATGTTTTCGTGTACATCCAACTTGAGGTTTATCCATCAACGATTGTAAAACTTTCATCACTTCATATTATTATTCACATTCAATGTGAACAGACACATGAAAATGCACAACCTCTATGTATGTAGTTGGATTCATCTCCATTGTAAAATAACCTCAATCACTTTATTACATTGTGTAAATCATAGGTGTTTGAAAGTCTATATCACAGGCCCACTTGGTAAACCAATATATCGCCATTTCCTACATTTACCTTATCATCTCTTATAGGTTGACAATACCATTTTTCTTGAGGCCGGATACTTGATAGTTGTTGGTTTCGATTTGGTATGCCCTCCATTTTGCACACTTATGAATCCTCGTTTCAAGAATCTTCTCATCGTGCAGGGCAGTGTTGAAAAATCTTGACTAGATTCCGAACCTTCTCATAACTTAATATAATTATTCCCATTCAATATGAACGGACACATGAAAATGCATAAACTCTATGTATGTAGCTCGATGCGTCTCCATTATGAAATAACCTCAACCAATTTATTACACATTGTGTAAATCGTAGGTGTTTGAAATTCGATATCACATGACCACTTGGTAAACCAATACATTGCCATTTCCCACATATTCCTTATTGTCTCTTGTAGGTTGACAATACCATTTTTCTTGTAGTCAGACACTTGATAGTTGTTGGTGTCGATTTGGTATTCCCTCCATGTTGCACACTTATGAATACTCCTTTCAAGAGCCTTCTCGTCATGCACGACAGTGTTGTAAAATCTTGACTAAGTTCCGATTAATCTTCGATTAGTCCCTAGATGCTACTCGACAGACTGAAGGCACCTAGCAATTAATTTATGCCTACACAATGAACAAAGCAGTAACAAACAATGAAATTTTAACACTTTGAAGGTGTTCTATTTTAGTAGAAACTATTTGAGGGATAATTAGTGTCGTATTAATCATATTAACATATTTTGTTATGATATTAGTCATATTTAAAAAATCAAACAATTAGCAATTTAGAGTCTCAGATTAATCTCTTAACCCGAGTCTATCGACTAGCGAACGTTGAGTGTTTTTTACAACCTTGGTGTAGGGTAATGGGCTTTTAATGTTTCACTATATAGGAAAAAACAACATATTGTCATGCAATGACAAATATAGTTAAATTAGCATAGTTGTGTAATGTAATTACCTTCGGGATTACATCATTGTCGACAAATACCGTTGTTGCATTTGTGCAATGGAAAAAGCCAATCAAAATTGTAATTGGTAGTTTTCTTTCATCTCTTGATAACACATTGATGGATTCAGTGCTATTAGCGACGAAGAAGTAATCAAATCGATGGTTAACATTCGTCTTAATGTTAGAAATCGTTCTTGGATTCGTCCTTTGTAATGATGTTCCCGAAGGTCAAAATGGCCAAAAACCTAAGGCCCAATAATGTTCCCGGTGAGTACGCTAAGCATACCACGTACGCCCAACGTACAACTTACACTGACAAGGAAATCGGGGCTTTAGCCGCGTACACTTAACCTACGCTTATGTAAGCCCGACATACACTCCAGATTGCCAAACTTCATTAAGCACTTAATGCTTTATGTCTAAACATCTAATTTGCAGGTCTAGCTCTTGGGGGATGTCTTAAACGATAAAGTCATCAACTTTATGCCTTTACATGGCTCAAAGAGACTCATTATGCATTTCTAACATTCTAACTTTATAATAAGACTATCAACTCATGCATAGATGAGCTTAACCCATCAATATGCCATCTTTATGGATCCAAAACTCAAAAAATACCAAGAAATGGCCAAAACATGTTTTGGAGTAACTCCTACTCACAAGAACCACACCATGGAACCAAAACATGCCAAATATAACCCCAAACTTAGATCTAAGATAAGGAGTCATAAAGTTTGAAGCTTTATACCTCTAGAAGCTTGAAAATGTGAAGAGAGTGTTGGATCTTCAAGCTCTAAGCAAACTAATCCTCTTCCAATGAGCTCTTTTTCATCAAGATGCACCAAAAACACACCAAAACACACATAACGATCAAATCTCTCTAAAAATGGATTAGGGATTCGAGACAATGCTTTTGGGGACAATTAGGGATGGTAATGAGAGAACCTTAGGGCATAACATGCTTAAATATGGTCTAAACCCTAAAATTTAGGTTTTGCCCTTTGATTAAGTACGCCTAGCATACCATATGTACGTCGGTGTACTAGGAAGGAAGTCCAATGTCCAAGTTTCGACATGGTACGCACAACGTACCATGGTTATGCCCAGCGTACTAGGCCGATGCACAAGGTCAATATTTACTTAGAATTTAAGGAGATTTACCTGAAGACCAGGAATTGAAATTCTCCCCCACTTGAATCAAAATCCGTTCTCGAAGTCTACCACCACAAATCACTTGGGTTAATTCTCTCTCATCTCCTCCTCAGGCTCCCATGTCTATTCTGAACCCTTCTGATGTTGCCATTGCACCTTCACCAATCCCACATTCTTGTTTTGTAGAGTCTTTGCCTTCCTGTCTAGGATCGCAATTGGTCTCTCTATGTAGGTCAGGCGCTCGTGCACCTGCATGTCCTCCAAAGGAACCACTACGAAATCATCAACTAAACACTTCCGCGACTAGGAGACGTGAAAAGTATTGTGGATTTGACTCAGTTCCTCAGGCAGATCTAATCGATATGCAAACTTGGCCACCTGGGCAATAACCTTGAAAGGAATGATATACCTGGGGCCTAACTTGTCTCGATTCCTGAACCGGATGACACCTTTACAAGGTAACACCTTCAGGAGTACCATATCCCCAACCTGAAACCCCAAATTTGAGTCACATCTCTTCATGTAACTCTTCTGACAACTCTGTGCGGTCTACAATCTCCTACGCACCTGCTGAATCAACTCGGTAGTCCGGAACACCACCTCCGTGCTACCCATGACTCGCTGACCGACCTTTCCCTAACAATTCAGGGTCTGACACTTCTTCCCACAAATGATCTCAAATGGAACTCGATCAATACTAGTGTGGTAGTTGTTGTAGTAGGAAAAATCAGCCAATGGAAGATACATATCCCAACTACCACAAAAAACTAGCACACATGCCTAAAGCATATCCTCCAAGGTCTAGATAGTCTGTTCGCTCTAAACATCGTTCTAAGAGTGAAAATACTGAAATGCACACAAGTACCCAACTCCTCATGGAACCGCTTCCAAAATATGGAAGTGAAATGTACATCCCGATTCGAGACTACAAATACCAAAACTTCATGTTGTGCCACAACCTCTTGGATATAAATGTCGGCCAACTAACATGCAAAGATGCTCTCCTGAATAGGAATAAAATGCATACTCTTGGTCA